TCCCCCCTCGTCCCCTCCCAGCCAGCTCGAGCTGAAGTTCTGTAGTTTTTGCTGTATTTCTTGTCTTGTGCATACTGTCTGTAACTGAGTTTTGGTTGCTTCCCATTTTGCTGTGATTGCTGTTTGGATGTGTTGTTGGATACTGTCCTACTGTCCGTAAATTCGGGGCCGTCCAATCTGATTGCGGAGACCCTGCAGAGTGGCAAAAATGAAAAATCCAACAAATTGCCGCCACCACTTATTTCGTGATCAAAAAGATTTTTCGAATTTTTTTCTTATTTTTAAAATATTTTTTTCCCTGAAAGATCACTACCAAATCTACGGACCCTCCAATTTTCAGAATTTTTTATGAATTCTTCTGAGAGTGAAAAATCGCTGAAATTGGGGTACGTTTCCCGTTGGCCCACAAGTAGTAGAGTGGCACAAAGGAAAAAGTACTCAACTTCCACGATTTCTTGCACTCAGAAGAATGCCTGGTGATTTTTGGAGTTTTCAAGGCATTCTTCTCAGCACAAAAAATCACGGAAGTTAGGGTACTTTTTTCTTTCTTTCTTTTTAAAAGCTATATTCTTCTCTCAAATTCACGTCACACGACCTACCTACCTAAGACTATATAGAGGGGACCCCTGCAAGCATAGGGCCTCGCAAACGAGGTAATTCATGTTGCCCCTCAGGGGGTGGGGGCGCCGGTGGGGGTCCGGCTAACGCAAAGACCTAGCATTTTGCCAGTAGCTGCGCCTCCCTTTCTCATCGTCCCCCACCACTCGTCGAGTAGCAGTAGAGGCTATGACCTACACTCTCCCACACACCACACACAACCCACTCGCACCCGCACTCACAGCCGTATTGGTCATAGACCCCGCTAATACTGATCAGGGGTACAAGAGGACTATCACAGTCCATTGGCACTAAGTGCGCCGCAGGCGGCCATGGGGCTTGAACCCACAACCTCCTGAATGCCACTTGCGTGCCTAACCAACTGAGTTACGCCGCTGGATTAGGGTACCGCCGCGCAAATTCGTCACATTTTCCATTTTTGCCTCTCCAATGTGTGGGCCAAAGGAAAACGTTAGGGTACTTTTTCCTTTGGCCCACACATTGGAGTGGCAAAAATGAAAAATGTGACGACTTTGCGCGGCATTTATTTCATGGTCTAATTTCTGTCTAAGGGATTTTTTTTTTTTCAATTCTGATATATTTTCCTGAAACGATCACGACCTAATCTACAGGATCTCAAATTTTCAGATATTTTTCCTTATTTTTCTGAGCGCGAAAAATTGCCAAAGTTGGCGCGTGAAAATTGCGGGACTGGACCCGCCTGCGCCTCCCAGTCAGCGCCCCCCCCTAAAGACCCGCTCCGAACTCACCGGAATTCCACTTTTCCGGTGTTGGGTAGAGTGGTGTTCTAAGACTGGGTGACATTCTGCGCGGCGGACTGCTGGTCCAACAGAGTGATTGGGTTGTGACCCCGGGAGATCCGGAGAGCATGGGTAATGTACTGGAGGTACATGCAGATGAAACCCTGGTCAACCTTTCCCACATAGACAAAGATAATGTGCTCACCAGGTACTCCCCGGACGCAACAAGATGGTTTGAGATCGTTCAACTACACAGGATCCGGGTGCTACTGGACCAGCAACTGGATACCGTTCTGCCCGGCCACCCCGCTCTCAGAACTGCTGTAGGACCCGGAATAGTGGCAGTGGACACCTGTCCATAGAACAAGGACTGGCAAGAACACAAAGCTCCAGTATTACGATGAAAGCAGCCTACAGATTGCTGAGGCCGAAGGTGAACCTCAAGGACATTGTCAGGGCCCAGTGGATGTCTCACCTGAACATGGGAAAAGATGCCATCCGCCCCATCCACTGGTTCACCGCCACAAGAACCAAACCTGCAAAATTTGCCTCCCTGCAATGTCAGATAGAACACCTCTGCGTACCCACGAACGACTGGTCAATAGAGCGTACACACATAGAGCAGAAGGGCTTGGCTCTTCCATGGTGTAAGCCATGCCATGCCGGACGGTCCTTCCCTCCCTGCAAAATTGCAGAGACCATATAACACTTATTCCTGCAGTGCGCAGGGCTGTCCGCACGTGGCGCTGGTGGGACAGAATCTGGAGCCAACTGGGTACTGTCTCCACCTGGCCATGGGACTGGAGGATGCTCCTGTGCGGGGCATAGAGCCGGAAGTCATTTGGACCCTCTGGCGTAAGCGGTGCATACACATCATGGAAGACGTATGCATAGAGGGGGAGGAAATCACTGAAACAATAAAACAACACGTTCAGCAAGATGTTACATGCCCAGTTGGGCAATGTATGTAAAGCCAAGGATCCGCAATGTGATGAAAAGGACTGAATGGACAATGCAGTGCTAGTGGAATCTCAACAAGCAGTGTACATCCTGACACATACAAAAATGGCACATAATAGTGCAGTGGAAGACTTCGATATAAGCCCTGACCTGACCGGGACTGACGTCTCTCACGTAGTACAAGACAGAGCAGCAGAATGCTAGAATACCAATGACTAGCCCAATCAATGTCGCAATACAGACCAAACATACATCATCCTCATCACAAGGTGTGAAGGGGCCTGGCGCTACACACAGGAAGAATGTGCCAGGTCCAGACCATACACAGACGAAGAGGAGGGGATCAGACGAAGAAGAAGGGGGAAGATGGGAGTGTTGTCAACACCAAGTCTTCGGTACAAGTCCCAGATAATCCCTCGTCAAATGTCTGAAGCCCAATGTCGAGTCTGGATCCAAATGTCACCAAGCCCGCTCCTCTCGTAATCTGCTGATGCAGTGAAGTCAGGTAGCGAGAGGGTGAGAGGGAGATGGTGGACTGAGAAGAGGAAGAAGAAGAACTCTCTCTCTCTCATGTGCCAGGTACTAACCTGTGAAGATGGCGCTGTGCTGCAGGTATCTCGAAGACGAAGCTGGAGCTATGGCGCTGCAGGTAAGTCTCCCTGGCCTCCGCCCAATCTCTCTCTCTCTCCAGTACTACTCTAGCTCCTACTAGCGCCCAGTGCTGAAGACTACTGCTAACGCTACTACTACTACTGCAGCGCCCCTCCAGAGTGCTGCTGCCGAATCCTGAAGACTACCTCCTGCCTCCTGAACTGCACGTGAAGTGCCTGGGAAGTCCCAATGAACTACCTGCAGCCTGCAGGGTGGGCCAGTCTTACATAGCGCTGGCCCGTCCAGGAGGCTGCTCTTGCCAATGCCAAAACGTGCCAGACCCTGGCGTTGAAGCTCAAACAGAGGTGGTCTTGAAAACAGGCCCAAAATGGCCTGTGCTAAAACCCTGGTCTGGTGCCTGAGTTTCGGGGCAGGTCGATCTTACGAGGGCCTGAAAATGGCCCTCCATTTCAGGCTGAAAAGACTCAGGGCCTGGAGGGCCCTGTTTTAGGCTGAAACGACACAGGGCCTGTAGGCCCTTGTTTTCAGGCTTTCAGGCTGAAACGACACAGGGCCTGTAAGCCCTTGTTTTCAGGCTTTCAGGCTGAACGACACGGGGCCTGAAAATGGCCCTTGTTGTAGGCGCAGTATGTAACAAAGACCTAGCGGAGCAATGGTTAAAATTCAAAACTCAACTGGAACTTTGCCACACAAAAAGGGACATAACACAAGCAATTAAATAGTTTTCTGAAGAATGGCTGAGGAATCAGCAAGGGGACTGGATAGGCAGCATCCGATGGGAGGGCGGCTGCAGCTCAAGTCACAGTCACGACGAGCTCAACGTGACTAGAGCATAGTCCTTAAGGGGTGGACCAAGATGGATGCAGCAATCCCACTGAGGCCCCCCTCAGAGTTTCCGGACCCCTTTTCCTCCACACCAACTTTCTATGGTAGACATGCAGTGGTACGGTGTCACCTGAGCCGGGTCTACAGCCAGGGATGATGCAGATTATCTGGCAGCCAGGATGGCTGAAGAGGCTGTTGATGCCTTTATATAAACTTTTCTTCTGGTTATTTAGCAAAGCTGGGTAAGCCCCCCGGTGATAGATTCACTGAGATGTCAATGGGACGCTGGACCCGGTTTCCAGCAGGTGCTGCTCCCCACCAATAGACCGGAGCAAACCGTGGCAGGTACTGCTACAGGGGGATGCTCATATCACCCCCTCTAGCATGCCTGCACGGTGTGTTTCCCAAAACGAAAAAGGTACACCCATGACACTTCACCTGATAGTCGAGCATGCAACATGCACAACGAAGAGAGCAGATGCCATATGGAACAGATGGTGCTCTAGGGAATACACTGTTTTGCGTCCACAATTCGAGGCACAGAATACGCAGAGAATAGGGCAGAGAATAGGCAGAGAATAGTCTTGGGTCTCTCTGTAGCTGACTCTTTGCTTGTTACATCAGGGTATTATGCCCACCTCTCTGCTACCGGGGAGAATGTTGTTGCAAGAGCTTGCTGGCGATGGAAAAAAGTGTTAACCCACAAAATGATCGTTCGTCAATCCTTGCTCAGTCAGGGAATCGCAGCAGGAAGGTGCACCAATGGCAAAGCTGTCAACAACAATCTGTTCATAGTTTCTCTCTCTTTCCAGGATTAAGGCAAGAAACCCTAGATAGCAGTGCTCTTATTCAACAGATTGCAAGGCTTCCTTCCGGCACTCATATCAACATCTGTGGAAGTGCGTCACACTGCCACTCCAAAGAGGTGTTGTGCATGGCTACTCGCCAATCAGCCCATGTAGCCTCCAGTTTTTCAGTTGGTCCCCTCCGTCAGAGGAACAATGTCTTACATGCATACGTCAAAAAAATACGATATGTAACAGGATCAAAAAGTTAAACATTCGCTAAATTTATGGTTGGAATTTAGAAAAAAAAAAAAAAAAAAAAAAAAAAAAAAGGTTGGAATTTAGAAAAAGCAGCAGTAATCTGTTGAAGAAACCAATGTTCGAGTTTTTCTCAATTAGCTTTCGTTCGTTTACACCTTTCATGGCTCAGCAACTTTTCTGGCGGCCATGCAGGGCATGAGTTCGGGATGGTGGTTCATTTCCACCTTACCTCAATGTGCCCGCCCCTGCTGTATCGTTTGTTCATGGGCAGGAAAAAGAGATGGTCGCAATGACCACTGATAATGTGACACGAGCATAGGGATGCTTCATACACGTCGACCCTCACAAGAACCTGCTCCCTCTCTCCCATCCTTGCTCAGGAAGGAGTTCATGTGACAAACCGCAGAGCGGCAAAGCGAGGTGGAATGCAGTAGCCACCTGGGGCCGTGCTAGATCACCTGCCTGTTTACATGGAATCGCCAATTCTTTCTGTGATGATGTGGATGTATAAACCTGATCACCGGATGAGTACCGTACCGTGATGTCGTAGCTACACAAGCCCAATGGCAGCGTGGTCGGTCATCTATGGACATCAGCCTCGGTCCGTGCAGGAAAGGGCGCTGTGGCCTGTCGGCATTCGTAACATCATCCTCTCATGAGGACCAGTGATAAAAACGTACCCAACCTGATTTAAGACCACATTCGCCGATATAGCCCCAGTGTGATTGAGTGGGTTTATGCCATAAGAGGGTGCGTGAAAAGTAAAAAAAACAATCAACCTGCACACTCTTAAACCGCTAGTACACCGCCCCAACCTTGCAGAGAATGTTTCGTCGCCGACTCCGACAATTTTGTGCCTCGGGCCTACCAGACCACAACGGCTGGTGGCACTACCCAGAGAAGAAAAAAAGTGCACCGGTGACGGTTTGGCAAAAAGCTTGGCGCGCAGTGGATCGCCTCTCGGCCCGCGCGTACTACCGGTAGCGGTTTAAAGGTGGGCTTCTAAGTTCTAACCCAAACCCGGCGAGGCAAGACATCTGGTGACTGTACGCCACGATCCGCAAAGAAGCAGAAGCATGAATCAACTCACAGACGACTCTCACCAAACTCAACAACTGAGCAAAGAGGAGGGACAGGTACAGGGCTTGCAAAAGACAACAGTGTTGATAGGGTCAGGGACGGAATAGAAAGAGAACAAGCACAAAGGGTATCCTTGAAGACACCCGTCACTTGCACAGCAAACGAAACAAAAAAAAGAGTCACAAGAGAGGTGAGAAGGACAAGGGGAGACAGTGCTATCACAGCTGACGGTTAACACGTTGGTGAGGTGGCGGGGCGTAGCAGAACAAATGAGTGGGACAAAAGATGGGAGAGGGGGTCCAATCCTTCTCCACCAATATCTACGCACTCAGTCTCCGACTCTCTGCTGATCGATTGTCCCTTCTTTTATTTACCACTTTTACTACCAGAGGAAAGAAACAATCATCATTCATCAACCAATCTAACCCAGCAACAAACAATCTGTGTGCGCTATCCACAGGTGCTGTCTAATCGATGCAAACAAGGGAATTTGACAGATGGGGATCAAGCGCTCGAGGGCCTGATGTTTACAGTATCACCTGTGAGCTTTCTGATAGCTCGATAACATTGCAGACTGCAGAGGGGCATCTTTGATCGCGAGCAGCGATAGACATACGGATTCCCGCATGCTGGGACAGAGCACTTCTGCCGTGGTGGAGGGTACAGGGGAGGGTCTTTTGCACACAGAACATCTGGAAGTCCCACATCCTCGGAAAAGGAGACGATAGTCTTCTCTGCACCGATGACCCAACGTATGCTGTTGTGTGCAGGCTGCAAGGCAGCGGCCCTTCGCTCCTCCTCCTGTTCGTGCCTCTGCCTTAGCAGTTTGCCTTCCCTCTTCTTGCGCGAGCTCTCTTGCCCCAGAATCTTCTGCATGGTGGCAGCTTGAACCTCCTTGGCAGCCTTCTCCATCTGCAACCGCCGCTTCCGCGCCGCCTCTGCCCTCTTCAACTGCCTGTCCGCCTCCGAGTCTTCCTTCCCCTTCTTCTTCTTGCCATCAATCAGACCATCCGGAAACTCGAGAAGACCGTTGGATCCGCCTCCTGGCCCTGCACCAGCCCATCCCACCCCCTCCTGCTCCTGCTGCTGCCCTTGTTGGATGGCCCTCTGTCTCGCAGTGAGTCCTGAAACTGACAACCTCGCAGCAGCCCCACCCCCTTTCAATGAACCCCCTTTAGTTAAAACTGTGGTTTTGGACCTTTTCCTCGTGTACTCTTCTTCTGGGGAGTCATCCGCAGTGCCTCCTCCCTCTTCTTCCTCTTCCTCCTCTTCTTCTCCTTCTTCCGCTCCTCTTTCTTCTTCCTCTTGTTCTTCTTCTCCCTCTCCTTCACCCCTACCCGACACTGATGCCCAGCGGGTGGCTGGAGGTACGAAAGGGCTCTGCCCATTTATCTCTCCTCCGTCGACACCCACGTCATGATCTTCCTTCCCACTACGTCTTATCGCCATCCTCCGTCCTTCCCCCCACCTTCGCTTGGACCTATCCTGTGTTAGCTCCTCTGCCTTGCTCCGTCCTAAGCCATCCTCTCTTTTCACTTGCTGTCCTAACTCAGTCTCACCTGCTCTGCCTACATTACCACTAGAAGTGCCTGGCACTGCTGCCTTCCCAGTGGATTCCTGTTGCCTCGCATCATGTCCACGCAGAACTGGTGCAGATGGCATGCCCTCCAACCCCTCGTCAGACCGTTTGGAGCAGCCATCACTCGAGGGCCCTGCCAAACCCATAACTGTTGCCGAACCTTGCTTTGCCTCCGATAAAGCCCCCCCCCCTCTTCCTCCTCCTCCTACTCCTCCTCCTACTCCTCCTACTCCTCCTACTCCTTTTGATTGCTGATTAGCCAATGATGGGACAGTAAGCTTCTCCTCCAACCCTGATGCTTGTGATCTATTAGGAGCAACTGGGGACTTACATGACGATACGGCTTGCGTCTCTCGTGACTCATCTCTTCCGGTCTGACTTTGACTTTGACTTCCTTCATGCTGCTGCTTCTGCTCCACAGCTGGAGCAGGGAAACCAGGTCCCCCACCAACACCATCATCTTCATCCTCCGAGTCTTCGAGGATAAGTCTGTGCCGTTTCCTCTTGGGAGGATTCTCCGCCTCCTCCTTAGCAGGCATTTTGGTTCCAGTTCTCTTCATAACGCCTCCTCCTCCTCCTCCTCCTCCTCCTCCTCCTCCTACTGCGCCACTGCCACCACTCTTCTCCACCCCCTTCAATGTTGATATTCCTGTGTGCTGTTGTGTGAGTTGCTGAGTGTTGTCATGCACAGAGCCCATGGATTGCCCTCCTCCTCCTCCTCCTCCTCCTCCTGGGCCGCCTCCGCCACCACCGCCGCCTCCGCCGCTGGGCATGATGTGACCCCCTTGTGCATGCCTTTTCTCCTCAGCCCCCTTGCCAGCTGCAAGCTCAATGGGATACCGCCATGCCACCTCCCCTAACACTCCAACAGTGCTCGCGTTGTCATCGCCAAGGCCACCAGGTGCGGTGGGGGGATCGACCACACCCCTCGATTTCCCGCCGCTCCCGCTGCCCGGGGTTGTCCGCAGGGGTGAAGGTGCGGATGACGACGATCGGGTAGGCCTGCTGTCATCAACCCCTCCTCCCCTCCTCTCTGCAGGCATGTCCCCCCCTCTGCTCCCCGCTACTCCTCCATCTACCCCTCCGCCTTCTGAGCCAATGACACTCCCGCCCCTAATGAGAGAACCACCCCTCTCGTCCCTGTCTTTCTCCCTTACACCTCCTCCTTCCCCTCTCTCCCACCTCTCATGCCTGTCTCCTCTCTCCATTCTCCTCTCTTTCTCCCGCTCCCTTAACCGAACTTTTTCGCGATCTCTGTCCCTCTCCCGCTCCCCTCCCCTCTCTTTTTCTCCCCCCCTCTCTTTCTCTCCTCCCCTCTCTTTTTCGCCTCCACCGCCCACTCCCCTCTCCCTCTCTCTCTCCACCCCCACCCGCACCGTATGCGAGCTTGTGGTCATCCCGCCAACCTTCAGCTTGAGTTTCTTCGTTGCAGGAGGCGAAGCTGCCCGCTCCATCTTACTTTGCTTTGACAGATGGGCCTGATTACTGCTACCTCCTCCTCCTCCTCCTCCTCCTCCTCCTCCTCCTCCCCCTCCCCCTCCTCCTCCACTCGCCATCATCCTACCCCCCGAACTTTGCTGCTGCCATGCTTCTCCGACTCCCCCTCCGACCCGGCTCTGCGCCCGCTCCCTCTGCTGCTCCCCCCCTCCTCCACCACCTATCTGTGCCTGCGCCTGTCTCTCTCGTAGCTGCTCCCCCGCTCCTCCTCCTCCCACCCCTCGTTCCTCTTTCTCCATCCTCTCCACTCTCTCAGCGTATCGTTCACCTGATCTCCCATCCCGATCCCGCACCTCTCTCTCCCATTCTCTCTCATATCTTTCATGTCTTTCTCCTCCCTCCCGGTCGCGATCTTGATGGCGCTTCAGTCCCCGCTCCCCTTGCCGACTCCCACTCCCCACTCCCGTTCCCCCCCTGTCACGGTCCGACCGGTCCGTCCGCTCTCCATGCCGGTGGTGATAGGGATGGTAGCTCCCGTAGTCCCGGTCATGACGATCCGCCCGCTCATGCCGGTAGTCGGTGCCAAACGACGACCGATCCCGATGATCAATGGAGTGATCTTGATGCGCCTTGTGGTGGTCCCCACCATCACCGCCACGGTAAAACCCAAACCCTGCATGGTGAGGGCTGTCTTCCACAGACGGGGGCTTTGGCCGTCGGATCTGCTCGCTCCTCGGCCTTCGAACCCCTCCCCCTGCAATGGGACCACCACCATCGTGGCCGAAACGACCTCTCCCATCCATAGCTCCTCCACGTGTCTCCTAGCGACGCCCCCCGCCTGTCAACAGGACACAGAACCGGCCCAGCCATCACACAAAAGAGTTCTTCAGTTTTTTTGTTTTTTTTTTGTAATATTACTATTATATATATTGTCACAGTGGAAATCGGAGCGCAAAGGCGGAAAAAAGACAGAACAAGAAAAAGAAAAAGAAGTACAAGGCCAGCCACCTGTTCATCACCTCTTACGTACAAGGCCAGCCACGTGGATGACAGGTTGAGCGCTGGCTGCCCCCATCCCCGTGTGTCATAAAGACCCACTTGCACGCAGCCAAAAGGCAAAGAGGTAAAGAAAAGGCGGAGGAAACCAAACCTCACAGAAGAAGAAAGCCTATTAAACAGACGAAGCAAGTGACACATCCCACAGATAATCCAATTACCATCCCACAGAACATATTTTTCTTTTTTCTTTTTTCTTTTTTCTTTTTTCTCAGGTTTCTTTTTTTGTGTTTTTCCTTCCTTGGTTTCTTTTTTTATTTATTTATTTTTTATCTTTTTACTCGGTTTCTTTTTTTATCTKTTTCTTCTACACTTCATCTGTCACCCCCTCGGCAGATAGGACAACTACGGTGAGGATGACGGGGATGTTCACAGGGATACCCAAGGAGAGTTGCCCGGTAAACCGTAGGCAGAAAGGGAGAAGAGGACAAGAAACGAGGGGTTTTAATTATGTATTTTTCCCTTTTTTTTTTTTTTTTTTGTTCTTCAAACGTGGCTTAGTGGACCACGGATCAGATATTCAACTGATCAGAACAGATAGTAAGATACTAAACTCCATCTCACTTGGCCCAAAAAAAAAAAAAAAAAGGCCGA